AATTAGGGTTTATAATTTTGGCTAGTAAACTAAACTTGTTTCCTTTACTGAAACAGAATTGAGATGCTCACTCATGTATTCGGATATGCTGAAATGGCGAGAGCTTAATCCTCCTCCGGCTACAATGATGCTTATATCCGATCAGGTGGAAGCTGTCTTCTCTTATAATCTTTGCCGGCTACAACAACAGGAGCCTGGATACAACATTGTTCTAGCATATTCATATAGGACTGATAAATATTCATTCCTGCACCATTCTGCAATGTTTCTCTGGGAAAGATTACTCAAAGGTGTTTGTCCTCTGAAACTACACCAAAGACCCCAAACTAAGCTGTTTCTGAGCTACTAATTAGTTTTCTTCCACAGATCTAGAGACACCAAGATTACGGGTAACGGGTAAATCTGCCATGTTTCATTGCAGATCGTGCCATTTTGTTTTCCAAAGCTTTGAAAATTTTACCAAGCATCTCTCCGGTGAAGAACATGCACAGGAAGTAAGTTTGAATCCTCTCTGTTTACATTTTTCCTTGTCTAACTGTTTGAGTGAGTAACAACGTGATATATCTTTTTTCAGGAGACTAGAATTAGTCAGTCTACTCGTCCAAGCTTGGGCCTCGATTATGAGCAATCAAAGGTTCTAGTTTTTCAACAGCAAAATATAAATCTCATTTTGATTATAGTCACTCAATCTCTTGGACGTTTAAACTGTAACTTGTCGGAATAAAATACGGTGAAAGCAAAAGATATCATATAATCCTTTGTTAGCCCCCTCCTTTACCGCTTTTATTTAGAACCCTAAGTTTTTTGTATATCTATCAACCATGAAAGAAATCCTACGGATCCAGGACTTGTGTCTGTTGATTTATTTAGGTTATGGCGATGCGGAAAAACTACTCACCGGCGCCTGAGTTTGCCACATCATAAACAGTGGTTTTGTGGGACATGAGCGACTGTCCAGTTCCTGTTGATTATGATGCTTGTCGGGTCCGTCCCAGTATAGAAGGGGCGCTAAAAAAATTAGGCTACTCTGGTCCTCTCAGCATTACTGCCTATGGCGATCTAAAACATACCCCTGAGCACGTCCTGCGAGGGCTCTCTTCCACGGGAGTCCATCTTCAACACACCATTGAAGGTTTGGATTTTTTTTTTTTCTTATTAGGAGGGTTTAAAATAGTATTCCTACTGCTAGTGAACTGCTTTCCTTTACTGAAACAGATAAGAGATGCACACTCATGAGTACGGATCTATGGAAGGTTACTTGTCCGGCTACAATAATGCTTATATCCAATCAAGTGGGATCTTTGTTCGTTTACTCTCTTTGCAAGCTACAACAACAGAAGGATAGATTCAATATTGTTCTGGCATATACATATGCTTCTACAAAAGCTTCATTCCTGTTCACTACTGCAGAGTGGCTCTGGGAAAACCTCCTACTGACAGGTGTTTGTCCTCTCATGACCACCAAACTAAGCTCTGTTTATTTGCTAATTAGCTTTCTTCCACAGATTCAGAGAGACCAAGATGGGTTATTCGCAAATGCAGTGAAACGGTTGAATCTGCCATGCTTCAATGTAGATCGTGCTCTTTTGTTGGCCAGAGCCTTGAAAAATTTACCAAACATCTATGGAGTGAAGAACATGAACAGAGAGTAAGTTTAAGCTAGCATCCTCTCCGCTTGTATCAGCTACATTTTTCATTGTCCGACTGTTTTAGTAACAACCTGTTATCTTTTAAATGCTCCTTGTCAAGCAGGAGATTTGGCTTACTCGTCCAAGATCAGAGTACTCGAAGGCAAGTTTTCTTAATACTAAATCTAGTTTTTCAACAGAAGG